CTTCTTTGTGGCAGCCCCTGAGATATTGGAACGCTGCTATCATGTCTCCCCTAGTCCTTCTTTTCATTAAACTAGACATACCCAGTTCCTGCAACTGTTCTTCGTATGTTTTAGCCTCTAGTCTCCTAATAGACTTTGTTGTTCTTCTCTGCACTCTCCAAAATCTCAACATTTTTTCATATTGTGATGACCAGTTTACATTAAAGAAATACCATCATCATGGAAAATGCTAAAGTCATTATCATACAAGATAAAAAATAAAAAAAATTGGGGGGGGGGAGTATTCCACATAAAGGTAGTCCTCAATTTACAACCATTCATTTAGTAATGAAAGTTACAATGGCACTGAAAAAAAGTGGCTTATGACTAAAATTTACAACCGTCATAGCATCCCCATGGTCACGTGATCAAAATTTGGTTGCTTGGCAACCAAGCATTTAGGCACTCAAGGGTCATATGATTGTCAGGTATGACAAGCAAATGGGGCGAAGTGGGATTTGCTTAATGACCGTGTGAATCACCCTGGGAGAAAGGGTCGTAAAATCAGACATGACACACTTAACAACCCCCTTAGTTAGCAATGGAAATTCTACTCCCGATTGTGGTTGTAAGTCAAGGACTTACCTATGCGGTAAACTCTTTCAGAATTTTAATTTTATTTCATATTTTAATTATACATAAACACTTTGAAAACAGTGTATTGTCTGGGTCCGTTTTGTCTTACCGAAGGATAACAAATGTTCTGATAGTAAGAGTAGTAATGAAAATCATAGTTATAATAATAATGTTAACTTATTTATAATCACAATCATAATAGCTCATCTTTTACTTATACATACAAATAATTTTTCTTCTTCTAATTTCTACTTCTTATATCTAACCACTGGTAAAACACATGAGTAATATTCTGTATCTGCTTTATCTTTTATTTTTAATGTCCAGCTATCCATCTCTACACAGTCTAATATTTTCTGAATTATATTTTCATCTGGGGGTGGTGGTGGTGTCCTCATTTTTCCAATATTGTGCAGTAGAATTGTATCAGTAGAATATGAGTAGAGGCGTTGTTTTTTTTACTTTGTAAAATGTCAGCAGATGACAGGGCTTTTTTAAGAGGTCCCGTTCTTCACCTAATGAGCATTTCTGCATTATCGATAGATCCAAAACCAACATTTTTCAGGACCTTAATCTGCTTCCGGCTTTTCCAGACGCAGTTTCAAAGGTCACAAATCCAATCACATGGGAGGACACCTATTAGTAAACAGCTAAAAAAAAAAGCCCTCCTTTCCAACATGATTGCTACATTCTTGGAAAGTGCAAATGTTGTAGGACATGGTTAAGAAATAGGGATTGTTCTACCTGGAAAGGAAAATGGCCTGAGGCCCCTTAAACCTTTCTGATAGCTGCGGGTACACAAAACAACTTGTATTCTCCACAAAGTATGTTCTACACCAGGGGTGTCAACCCTCAAGGCTCTGGATCTGGCCTGTGGGGCCACCCTGGAAACAGTGCCCACGGTGCCTCCGCCAGGAAAAAACGGAGCTCCATTTTCGCTGGCAGAAGGCTGCGGGAGGCTGCCGCGGCCAAGAATGGAAGGGGGGGGGGGCACGCTGGCAGAGGGCTAGCAAAACGAATTAAAAAGAAAACAAAAGGGGAAATGTTTCCCCTTTTGCATTTGAGCATGCAAGAAGGGACGGGAAAGGAGAAAGGGGAAGAGGAAAGACAAAGAAAAACAAGGTAAGACAGGAAGAGAGCAAGGAAGGAAAAATAAGGCTAGAGGGGAAGGAAGAAGAAAGAAGAATGAAGAGGGAGGAAGGGAAAGAAGGAAAGGAAGGAAGGAGGGAAGGAAGGAAGGAAGGAAGGAAGTTATAATGAGAGTGAGGGAGGGTCTGGGGGAAGTTGTGACTTAGCACTTGTGACCCGCCAAATGCACGCCCGCCAAATGCACACCGATGAAACCGCACCGCGATGAAAAAAACAACATAGTGGGACACGAAAACGTTAGGGGTTAGGGTTAGGGTTATAACGTTTTCGCGTCGCAGAATGTTGTTTCGTCGCGGCGTGGTTTTCTCGAGCGCGCATTTGTCGAGCGCGCATTTGTCGGTGACCCCTTAGCACTTGGCCACCACAGATGCCTCTGACACAAGTGACCTCGAGCTGGCCATGCCCACCCAGGCCACGTTTCCCCCCGCCCCAGGTCAAACACAACCCTGATGCGGCCCGTCAATGGAATTGAGTTTGACACCCCTGTTCTAAACAATGAGGGGGGGGGGAAATCTCATTTTTATTCTTCTCCATAACTCTGCTAACAACTGTCTCTTTATGCTATCATCCAAGCTTCCTATAATGTTGAATGTCTCTGCAAAAACAACAAAAACAACCAAATTCAGCCCTGTAGGTGGGTGACGTACCTTACAACCTTCGCAAGCATGGACTCCATAGTGATAGCCTGAGGCTTTATCTCCACAGATTCTACATTCAATGTTTAAGGCCACATTGGGGAGCTCCTCTTTGCTGCTTGGAAGAGCAGCGAGATTCACAGATGAGGGGCTTGATGCTGGTGAGAAGGAATCTGCAAAGGGAAGAAAGAGGGACCTTCAGCTTTTGTCATCCTCATCCCCCCCCTACCTGGAAACCAACCTACCTGAGTAGTTCTAGCCAATAGGACGCTCTAAATCAGGGGTGGGGGAATTATGGCCCTTTTAGGACTTGTGGACTTCAACTCCCAGAATTCCTGAGCCAGCATGGAACTCTGGGAGTTGAAGTCCACAAGTCGTAAGAGGGCCATAATTCCCCATCTCGGCTTTAGATGATCAAGAGGCATGAATCAGGAACGGAGGAGCCCCAAAAGCTTACAGACCCCCCATATCACCTCAGAAAAAGCCTCCGGAGGAAGGGAAGGTTTTAAAACCCATCCGTTGCCTGAGAATGTTGTGGGGTTGTCGGAAGAACAGAAAAGCGGGCAGGGAATATTTCATCCGGGCACATGTCCAATGGACCCATTGGTTCGCTCTTAGTGCAAACTCAGGCAGGTGATGGTAGGAATGACGTCTACCGAGGGAAACTTAAGGCACAGACTGCGCTTGTAAAGCAAAAAAAAAAAAGGAATACAGAAAGCAAAGGAAAATAAGTCATGTCTGACATAATTGTTGGAAGGAGAACCAAGAGTGAGACAACTATGTGGCTTCCCATCACCGGAACTGAAGGCCTGAACTGAATTTTCTCGCCCCTCTATATACTTTCTTTCTGGAAACTTTTAGCGGAGGGGCGGGCGAAGATTCTCAGCTTGCAGGAAGAAACAGAGCCTTCAAAATCACCAGCAAGCCGCAGAAGGTTTTTCTGCTGATGTATTACAGGGGTTGCAAAATTGGAAATAATGTACGTTTCCCCATTTGAGAGAGCTGGGGGACTCATGGGTAAAGACCTAACTTCCGGTATTTCTACTTTTTTTGTTTTCTTTTTAAGCCAAACATCATCCCCCCGACCATAATTTGGATATTTTTCTCATCAAATTTTCTGCAGCACAATCTCAGGCTGCTTGCACAAAAGAAACCCAAATTACTGGAAGACAATGGGTATCTTTTTATCACTTTCTCAGTCCTGGTTAAAGGTTCCCCTCGCACCTATGTGCTAGTTGTTCCCGACTCTAGGGGGCGGTGCTCATCTCCGTCTCAAAGCCGAAGAGCCAGCACTGTCCGAAGACGTTTCCGTGGTCATGTGGCCGGCATGACTAAACGCCGAGGGCGCACGGAAGGCTGTTACCTTCCCACCAAAGGTGGTTTCTATTTTTCTACTTGCATTTTTACCTGCTTTCGAACTGCTAGGTTGGGAGAAGCTGGGACAAGTAACGGGAGCTCACTTCGCTACGCGGCGCTAGGGATTCGAACCGCCATACTGCTGACCTTTCTGATCAACAAGCTCAGCGTCTTAGCCACTGAGCCATCACGTCCCTCAGTCC